CGCAGCTACATCAGCGCTTGCGGCCTAAGGTGGCATTAGATTTTCATGTCAATGATCAAGGCTGTTTAAAAGAGGAGGATAAGAATGTATTCATAAATGTACTTGGTACTTCGAGTACTTGGGTATTGAATACTTGTAATTGTACTCTGTACTCAAGTACATTTTGAGCAAAGACCCGAGTAGGTACATTTTGCCTATTCTCGGAACAGCTCTGGCTACAACCCTCTTTATAACCACGCAAATTTAAGCATCTTTATTATTATTATTATTATTATACGGGTTTTTGACAGTAGACGAAAAAACCGGTAGACTGTCATTAGTCCTTGTGCTGGGAATGTTACTTGCCAGTACACTATTTTACGGTTTATCACTAAAATATTTATCAAGTCTGTTCTTAAAGGCATTCACACGAGGGGAGGTTACAACCTCGTCAGGGAGCTGATTCCACTGTTGAACTACTCGATTTGTGAAAAAAATCTTCCTGGAAAGTCTGTGACAAAGTTCGGTGGAGAGCTTCAGGGAGTGTCCACGCAGATGAGGGTTGATATTTCTGTGAAAGAAATTAATGTCGCATGTGTAATGATTATGTAGAATTTTGTATGTTTCGATTAAGTATTCTCTATTTCTGCGTTCCTCCAGAGTTGTCAGATTAAGAGCTTTCAGTCGTTCTTTATAAGAGAATTCTCTTAAAGATGATGGAATTTTGTCTAAAATTTCAATGACAAATTCATCAAACTTGGACATGATAGAGCATAAATTGGTACACAACATTAATATGGAGGAGTAGGTCTAAACATTTAGTTTCTTGAGGTGTCAGTACTGAGGCCATGTACCCCAGATGGTCTAACCTTAATTATTTTTGGAAAACCACTAAAGTATTCAATTTTAAGGTTATCTTCCCCATGGTTAACTCTTTCTTGCATTTCTGTTAACAGTTTCTTGAGGTAGCTTCGCTGCAGGCTTGTTTGGTCATACTTTATATACATATACTGCTCTCTTTAGGTAGATTATTTTTATGAAGCACTTTACGAGCTTCCTCTTTTGAGGGAAAAATCACCTTGATTAGCCTTCTTTTCTCTGGATTATAGATTCCTACCCTGACAACTTTAAGGTTACCTTTGGCCGTATCTCTGCTGACACAATCCAGTACCCCCTCAACCACCTTCACGTCATTTGCTTTTTTTTCATCAACACTGTTACTCCTGGACTCCTCAGCCCCAAATATAAGAACATTTATTGCTCTAACCTCACTTTCCTGCCATTCTATCAGTGTGGGTTGCATTCCCTCCTACTGCTGATTTCCAGAGACTGTATGCACAACTGGGGTTGTAATCTTGTTGCTTAACTCTTGAACATTAGTTTTTAAAGCTTTTGTTTCTTCCTTCAGGTTGGAAACGATATCGGCATGGCTTGTAGCACTAGAGGATGAGTTTTTCAGATCTTGAATGTCCATTTGCATTTTGACTAGTCTGTTTCTTGACTTGATTTGACGTATCCAAGTTTTATCCCAAAAAATTATACATCCATGGATTTAACACGTGTCCCAACTTTTTCTGGATATTCAAACTTGCGTCCTTGGAAAAGCTTTCAGTTATCAGAAAAACGATCTAATAGTGGAAAACGGAGCTATAGGCTACAACTGTATAAGAAAAATGTACTGATGCTCTTGAGCTTAAGCTTCAAACAGCTCAGAAATTTGAAAAAGTCAATCAGTATCTGGTGTCGGAGAGAAATCTGTTGAAACTATTCTGTTTTGCTTCTCATACCAAGCTCAACAAAGCTCAGAATATTGAAAGATTCGAGAAACCTTCTACTGTTTGAGAAATGATTGTAGAATTTGTCAAAGTTCAAGGAGCCAAATGGGCTACAACTGTATAAGAAAAATGTACTGATGCTCTTGAGCTTGAGCTTCAAACAGCTCAGAAAATTGAAGAAGTCAATCAGTATCCGGTGTCGGAGAGAAGCCTGTTAAAACTTTTCTATTCTGCTGTTCATACTAAACTCAACAAGGCTCAGAATATTGAAAGATTCAAGAAACCTTCTACTATTTGAGAAATTATTGTAGAATTTGTCAAAGTTTAAGGAGCTACATGTGCTACTGCTGCATAAGAAAAATGTACTGATGCTCTTGAGCTTAAGCTTCAAACAGCTCAGAAAATTGAAAAAGTCAATCAGTATCTGATGTTGAAGAGAAGCCCGTTGAAAATATTCTGCTCTGCTAATCATACCAAGCTCAACAAGGCTCAGAAAATTTCTCGAAATAAAATCGAAGAAAAGCCAAAATCCTGGGATCAAAAAATGAAGCAAAATCAAGAGCCTGGCATAAAATTTTTTTTTTTTTTTTCTGTTTCTTCTCTATGAAAGAGAGTGTTTTCAATATTTTTCTTTAATTTCTTTCCTTCTTATCTCATCTTTTTCGTCTTAATTTTTTATTTATCACAGGCTCTTGAATTTTGTTATTGTGTTTTTCAATATCTCAAAATAAGGTAATAAGAAAAAATGAATATCCTGGATTAAAAAAGAAAAAAAAAATTCGACTTATTTTTCTCCTGCATTTCTCATTTTGTTCGTCTCAATTCTCATCTATTCCATGTTCTAATTTTTTCTCTAAGTTTCTCAAAATAGAAATAGAGAAATTTCAAGAACCTATAAGCAGTATTCTATTCCAGAGGTAGCAATGAGAATGAAAGAGAAATTTCAAGGTTTTTCTCATATTCTTTTCTATTTTTTCTCTCTGTATCCTATCCTATGCTAAATTTAATCTCTCTGTTTTCCATCCTTTTCGTTTTGATTTCTGTCTCTTCCAGTCTCTTCAATTTTATTCCTTTTTCCTAATTTTTAAAAATAAAATTCAAAATCCTAGAATAAAAATTGAAATAATTTTTGAACCCATTTTTCTTATTCATTTCTCATTTTTTTCATCTCAATTCTCGTCTATTCTGAGCTCTTAAATTTTCTTTAAATTTTTAGAAACAAAAACAGAATATTCAAGATTCTGGAAAAGAATAATAAAGAAAATTCAAGAGCCTGGAAATTCATTTAAAACTTATTTTTGGTTTAAGTTTTCCCTGTTCCAGACTCTTAATTTTTTTCCTCTGGAACAGAAACTGGATTTTTCCACCATTCATAACTTTTTTTATCCTAATTTTTATCTATTTCTTCGATCCTTATTTCTTCTAGATTTCTTCCAATGAACACATGAATTAAGTAAGGAAGTACAGGTTTATGGATGAGACGATAATTCGTATTGTTTTTAAAGAAAGCTTGATAATTGGTCGATTATAGTACCGAGGTCTGTGTCTGTGAAGAAAACATTCCTAGTTTATAATGAGCTATTTACCGACTGTCTGAATTAATAATTACTTTCAGTTAAAGTACCTACATAAGTCTCTATTAGGTTAGGTTTGCCTCTGAGGCTTTTTTTTTTGTTGAGATTTTGTATCTTACTGGACTTTTGGGATCCCTTAAACTCCATACACTAAACTATTCTGAGATTAGAAGCCAGATTCTATGAAAAAGGGACTCAAAAAAATTGAAGAATCGATAAACCTCCCCAAATTGCTTATCACGATTTCATTTCTGGAACTGTCAGTCCAAATGAGCTGAAATATGATCTTTCAAACTATTCCAACATTTGAATCATAAGGACTTCTGACTAAAACGATGAAATATCCATTTTTTTTTGTTAAGATTTAGTGTCCTAATAGTCCTTTAGGATACCCCAAACTCCATACACGAAATTATTCTGAGATTTGGAGCTAGATTCTATGAAAAGGGATTGTAGTCCTCTACTGGTATCTGTAAGAATCGCTGAAATTTTCAGCTTTCTTTAATAGAAAAAAAGTAATCACTTTTCAAAGTTTTCCAAAATCTAAATCATATTATAAGCTACCTTCTTACTAAAACGATGAAATTTCAAATTTTTTTTTTGTTGAGAGTTTGCGTCCTAATGGTTGTTTGGGATCCCACAAACTCCATACACTAAATTATTCTGAGATTTGGAGCCAGATTCTATGAGAAAACAACTCAGAAACATTGAAAAATTGATAAATCACCCCAAATAGCTTAACGCGATTTTATTTCTGGAACTATAAGTCCAAATGATCTGGAATTTTCAGGGATTGTAGTCCTCTACCGGGATAAGAATCACTGAAGATTTTAGTTTTCTATCTTAATTAGAAAAAAAGTTATGACCTTTCAAAGTTTTCCAAAATCTTAATCCTAAAACCACAGCTAAAACGATGAAATTAATTTTTTTTTTGTTGAGATGTTGTGTCTTAAAGTCCTTTGGAATCCCTCAAACTCCATACACTAAATTATTCTGAGATTTAGAGTCGGAATCTATGAAAAAAGAAACTCAGAAAAACTGAAAAATCAATAAATTACCCGAAATTGCTTAACTCGATTTTATTTCTGAAACTATAAATCCAAATGGGCTGAAATTTTCAGGGATTGTAGTCCTCTACTGGGATAAGGACCGCTGAAAGTTTCAGCTTTCTATCTACAATAGAAAAAAAGTTATGACCTTTCAAAGTTTTCCAAAATTTAAATCATAAGGTAGCTACCTCAATACTGAAACGATGAAAATCATTTTTTTTTTGTGTTGAGAGTTTGTGTCCTAATGGTCCCCCAACTCCAAACACTAAATTATTCTGAGATTTGGAGCCGAAATCGATGAAAAATGGCACTCAGAAAAATTGAAAAATTGATAAATCACTCCAAATTGCTTAACACTTCAAGTCCAAACAAGCTAACATTTTCAGGGATTGTAGTCCTCCACTGAAATAAGAATTGTTGAAAAATTCGTATTGTTTCCAGAGAAAACTTGATAATTGTTCGATTATAGTAACGAGGTTTGGGTCTGTGAAAAAAGTTTATAATGAGCTATTTCCCGGGCTAGGCGACTTTCTGAATTAATATTAACTTTTAATTGAAGTACGTACTTAAGGTTTTGCCTCTAAGGCTGACATATCTTGTCCTCAAAAAAATCTATCACTTACCGCTCTAGTCCATCTAACAAGTGGTTCCGGCTTTCCAAGATAAGTAGCCTTAAGCAAAACCCTATCGCCAACAAGGGCCGTCGTATCCTGAGGTCCTCTAACCAACTTGGCAGGTTCCTCGGCTGGTACATTTTCCTTTAACGAGTGCACAAAATCCACTGTAGCCGACATATTTTCGAAAATTTCACTGGCTGGTACCACTTGAAGCTCGTCGTCGTCAGCTTCAGCCCCAAAACCCATGGACACGGCGTCCACCAGGCTGCGATCTACGACCACTAAACTCGCGGTACCGCTCCGGACCGGATTGATGCTGCTGCTAGTGGTACTCTCAGTACGCGACTGTGCGACGCATCGTACTAAAACCGAACTGCAGGTATCGAGTATGTGAAGAATTCCCGTGGTGATGACGGCGTGCGTTCCTTCTTGGTACGTTTGTTGATCTTCCTCTACCTGGAAGTCGAAATTTTTATTATGAAGATATGTAGGTCGATGTTCGATTATAGGATCCGGTGGCAGTTTGATAATAAACTGTTGAAGTGGTACCACAATGACAAGCTCCAATTTAAGAATTAATTTATTATAAAAAAAGGCAGGTTTTGGTAAAATTCCAACCTCATGAAGCACCCATTAAATTAACGTCCGTATGTGGCATATGGGAAAAAAAATCTTCTCGAAAGACTGTTAAACTGTTAAAACCCATATAAAATCTCATTTTACGAGTGTCGGTTGCTGGTTCCAACATCGGAAAAATGTTGTTTTGGCCCCGAAATATTGTGCAACACTCGTAAAATCTGGACTTTGGGGTCGGGCATTTTTATGGGATTTTATGGGTTTCGTACTTTGGCACGATGGTAATTAACTTTTTGGCGATTTTGTTTTTGTTGCCCGAAGAGATAAAAGCTCAAAACACGGTTGATTTATTGTCGAAACGAGGCCTAGAATATTTCTCTCGATTCTCGGACAATTTATATTGTCCGCGTTATCGGTTCGGTACGATCTCACTATAGATCGTAAACAATAATAGGGTGGTACCCATAGAAGGAGTGCCTGTAATATAGTAACTGTTTTATACAAATTCTTCTTGGACAATGGGTGACCTTATATAAAAAATAACGGTCAATCGTTGTTATTTAAATCGGTTTAAATCACCCTGTATATACAGCTTTATGAGACAATTGTTGTCTTGGGTGTTTCTAAATTTAGACATTCCACCAGTTAACAATAATTAAACGTGCACGCGGAATATGTATAATCAGACTAAGCTTGAAAATTTTGTTTATAATTAACTGGCTGATCATAAATCAACGAATAATTACCCTAATAGTAATAACACATGCTTTTGATTATGATTAAAATATTTGCGAATTAAAACACAAGGCTTAATGGAGGATTGTTTATCGGGATTATAGAAAAACATTGAAATTTTGTATCTTTTACAGGAGTTTGAAGATTTGCAAGTTGTAGAGATTATGAGAATGATGAAATCAGCTCCATGTTTGAAAAATCTTTGTTCTTGACTAAAATAGAGCTAGGAAAGAAGGTTACCGACCCCAAAACAAGTGTCCCAATATCTACAGGATAATAAATTCCGAAGAAAACACTTTGATTTTTCCATCATTTGTTGTAAAAGCTCAACAAGAAAAACCCAAAGGAACCATCAGCAGTTGCAGAAGTTTCAGAACCAAAAATAGAAGATATTTTTGCAGAAGTGGGTAATGCAAAAATACCACGAAATTCAACACCTACTTCTGAGAGTTTTTTCGAAAAAGCATGCATTTTAAATTGTTCAACATCAGCAAAATTCGATCAGAAATTCAGAAGAAAACACCTCAAGTTTGTCAAAAAAAGACGTGCTTTTGAGATCTATTGGTGCATGTGGGAGAACCAAAAATGTTCTTTCTGACTCTTGATTTGCTGGAGTTTATTTCGAAAGGCAATCCTTGATCACCTGTAGAATAATTGTTGGAGGAATGAAGAGCCGGTTTTTGTTTTGCTAGACAAGTTTCCTAGGGTCAATTATAGGCTTGTAATAGTTCAAATTTTGATCAGTACCGGCTCTTGATTGCTTTACTCGATGTAAGACAATTCAAGAGTCGATTATAGTATAGGTCAGATTTTGATTATTCCCGGCTTTTGATTGTATAAGTATCCTAGTGCTCAATGGCCTGTTATAGTCCGAATTTTGGTTATCACTGGTTTTTGACCTGCTGGACAAGTTTCCTAGGGACAATCATAAGTCTGTAATAGTTCAAATTTTCATCATTACCGGGTCTTGATTGCCTTACTGTATGTGGGGTGATCCAAGAGTCGATTATAAATAGTTCGATTTTTGATTATTCCCGAATCTTGATTCGTTGTATAGTTTTCCTAGTCATCAATAACCTGTCATAGTCCAAATTTTGGTTATCACCGGTTTTTGACTTGCTGGACAAGTTTCCCAGGGACAATAACGAGCCTGTAATAGTTCAAAGTTTGATCATTACCGGCTCTTGATTGCCTTTATGGATGTGAGGTGATTCAAGAGTCGATGATAGTTTAAATTTTGATTATTCCCCCGGATCTTGATTCGTTGTATAATTTTCCTAAAGGTAATAATAGTTATAGACTAAATATCAGCGGCTTTTGACTCGCTGAACAGTTTTCCTACGGCCAATTAGAAGTCTGTAATAGTTCAAAATTTTGATCATTACCGGCTCCTGATTGAGTTACTCGATTTAAAAGAAATCAAGAGTTGATTATAGTTTAGTTTTTGATTATTCCCGGCTCTTGATTCGTTGTATAACTTTCTTAGTGATCAATAGCCTGTCATAGTCCGAATTTTGGTTATCACCAGTTTTTGACTTGCTGTTGAAGTTTCCTAGGTACAGGGTGTTTTTTTATATATTGACAACCAACCTACAACCTTTACCATTACAGATAGAAGGAAGGTGGAAATACAAAAGTTGTACAGTTTTGGCTATATTTCCAAAAATCCATGGTCAGAAACAAAAATTGAATGTCAAGAATGTGAAATTTTGCATGCTTTCAGCTTATCTCAAATGGGATGCCCTATATCCAGTTCCATATTCTGGAAGAGCACAATGCCCTAATGCCAAAAATATATAGTTTGTCTATATTTGTTTGAGCAGTCTCTTATATATTCGGCTCCAAAAATTGTAAAAACACTATCCATTATTTGATTTTGTGAACTTTTCTACCTGTACAGGTGAAAGCTGCAGGTAAAATTTGAGGTACTTGGTTTCTCTGATAGTATTTTCAAAATGTTTAGAACCAAATATGTTGGGGACGGCTCAACCAAATATAGACAAACTATATATTTTTGGAATCGGAAAATTGTGCTCTTCAAGAGTATAGAATCACATATAGGACATCCCATTTGAAAAAAGCTATAAGCATGCAACATTCCACATTTCTGACATTCAAATTTTTTTTCTGACCATGGATTCTAATAATTCAGCCAAAACTGTACAACTTTTACATTTACACCTTTCTTCTACCTGTAAAGATAAAGACTGTAGGTGGTGTGTCAATATATAAAAAAACACCCTGTACAAGCATGAGCCTGTAATAGTTCAAAGGACCACGCACGGATCTTATGAGAAAAAAATAAATTTCACGATTGTCAAGAAATTGAAATATGTTATGCTTCTCGGCCTCCTGAACGTAAAGTCTCGTAGGCCCAAAAAGATCCTATGATTAGTTTCGGAGATACAGGGCCGAGTTAACATACAAAATTTTGACAAAAAATAAACATTTTAAAATATGTTGAGATCAGGCGATCAGGCGATGACATATTCTTTTAGGTTAAAAACGGGTGGAAAAATGTCAAAGTAATGTCATCTAAAGCTTTGAAGGTTGAAAACTTGTCGAAAAATGCCAAAAATATGTCATTTTTGGTTATGAATTAAATTAATGTACCAGCAGATTCTGAAGATTTTTCTTGTACTACTTTTTTTTATCGGTCCTATATCTCCGAAACTAATCATAGGATCTTTTTAGGCCTACGAGAACTTATGTTCAGGAGATCGAGAAGCATAACATATTTCAATTTCATGAAAATCGTGAAATTTATTTAACTGGTTCAACTACTATCAAAGTATTGCGAAACATTTTTACCCGTTTTCGAAAACCATTATAGTCCAGCAGGAGGTGGCGTCGAAAACATGCAAGAGTTTTCTGAAGGCTGATATTTTCAAAATAGGTCGTACTTTAGTGGTGAAAGGCTAGGGTACAGTCAGTACGCACCAGTTCTGGGACAGCTGGCGTTGGAACTCGCGCAAAGTTGTAATTTTGAGAAGCATCTAAACTGTTTTCTCGAAGCTCAGCCCCGGAACTGTGAGTGCTGACTGTACACTAGCCTTCCATCACTAAAGTACGACCTATTTTGAAAATATGAGCCTTCAGAAAACTCTTGCATCTTTTCGACGCCAGCTCTCCAATTATTAGTTATGATAAGTGATAATGGACCAACCTTCACCTCAACTGAATTCAAACTTTATTTGGAAGTTAATGGAATTGAACATAGGTTCTCTGCTGTTTTATCCAGCTACAAACGAACAAGCCAAGAAGACTGTAAAAAAAGTATAGCGTAAAATTAATGAATTACGAGATCCGAACGAAAGTTGATCTCATTAAACCTACTTTACAAGGAAAAGAAAATTTGAAGTCGACAGTTGGAGAAGAAAATTTTAGGAAATTTAAAGGCAGCGACAGGGTTAGAGTTTGTAATTTTTCGGAGAAAAATACAAAATGGAAATATGGTCACATTGCAGAAATAAAGCGGCTATTACATTATTTAATAAAACTGGATGATGGTCGTATATGGCGTAGACACGTTGACCATATTGCAATCACACAAGTACCCAAAAACACGATTAATGATCCTGCAGTTCTTTTGGAAGAGGATATAGATGGAGTCGTCCAACATACCATACAAGAAGTAACAGATGAAGACATTCAGAATACTAGCAATACTAAACAAGAAGGATGGAAAAATAAAAAAAAGGATGATGTTACTGAGGAAAGGGAGACACTAGATCAGAATTCATCTATTCCACAAAACACCATGACTTTAAGAAGATCTAAACACAAAATTAAGCCAGTTCAGAAAATGAATTTATAATGAAGACTCACGAGGGAAAACTGTTATGTCTTCAGCATCTGGTATTTTTGTACCTTTTACCTTTACCATGGTAAAGGTAGAGTTTGAAGTGTCATTTTCTATAGTCAGTTTGTCATAATTGTTGAAAATAATAGCGTTGACTTGAAGAGTAAAGCATTATTACGTACTTATTATTTTTGATATACAATGGGCCACTTTCACGTGCCGGGAATATGGCAAATTATGATATTTTATGACGCAGATACATCAATGCAACCGAGAATGAACAATATTTTGAAACATTTTAGTCAGATTATTGAATAAATTTATAAATAAAAACTAAAAATTT